AGACGCAGACAGGTCAGCGCACGAGTCGCAGCGCGTACTGCAGTGATTTGATTTCGCGTCAAGTTGAATAGAATGTACACTTGTACGTATCAAATCATACAGAACACGCTCGACTCGTCCGCTGACCCGTCTGCGTCTCTGCCTTCTCGCCGTGCGATGGGCCTCCTGTCGGGTACCACTTATCACTGCCCCTTGCGGCCAAACCGTCGGGCCTCCTGTCGGGGGTACCCCCAGGAGGCCCGTCGCGCGGCAAGAAGGCAGAGTCGCGGACGAGTTCGCAGCGCGTGATGTGCGATGTAGGACGTGCAATGGGACATTCTATTTAACTTGACGCGAAATCCCTACAGTACGCGCGCGACTCGTCCGCTGACTCGCCTTCTTGCCGCGCGACGGGCCTCCTGGGGGGGGGGATACCCGGGTACCTGCAATAAATGATGTCTCGTGGTTACCACACCCACGACCTGAGGAAGGATCAAAACCCGGATTTCTAATCAAATCTACGTCCGGCCAAGGTGAGCCATGTGTTCAGAAAGTTTCAGCCTCTACAACCCTTTTTCTCTCTCCTCTGCAACTCTTTACAACACCCTAACAAGGAATCACTTCCCTAAAAAATTGGGAAAAAAGCCTACTCCCTATAAACCCTTATGCTTGAGTTCTACAGTATTCTTTGGGTACAGTATAGAGTGAAACTCACGTAAAATTGTCGGATTGGTTCGTTAAGTTGACAGAAGCTGTCACAAAAGTGATTAAAGCTCTCATTTTGTCCAGTGATCCGATTCAACATTGTAATATTATTCATCGCATAATTTAATATCTAAAAGGATTTTCTATGTCACAATACCGTAATCCATCCAACAACCACAGTAATTCTTATGCTCACTTTGACCGTTTCACGCATGTAATCCGGCCGTATCATACTGCCATTGTCCTTTGCAACTACAAAGAGATACGGGGCGACCGGTAATCCTGAAATACACAATGGTTTTCATGAGTATTGATCGGGACCGATTTTTGAAAATTACAGAAAAGAATTTTCTTTGATTCTTCAAAAATATGAGGACTATCAATTCCGAAAATGAACGAAAATGAACACAGTAGACCCGATAGATTCGCAAAAGACTGCTGAATGCTGGCTTTCTTCGATTGCGCCGGTGCGCCAGTACCTCATTTATAATTTCCACTGATTGGAAGTTGTGTGAGAGATAAAATCCAGAAAGATCCATAGTGACAGGGATTTCTCGAATACGACATCGATCCCCTACCCTTTCTTCTGTCCCTCTATTCCTCCCATCCTTCCCCCTCCCCCATGAACTACTTCCTCACTATCCTTACCTTTTACCACTGATCCCCAACCCCTCCCCCTTCCAAGAGAAGGCATTCAGGAGGAGGGTATTTTGAACAATGAAAAAAAAAACAGTGCTGCAAGGCATTTTCGAATTTCCCCGGAAATCGTGAAAGGAATTGTCCTCGTGCCGGGTTGCAATCGCAAGCACCAATACACCTTGGATCTGCCTAGGAGTAACTTAGAGAGGGTAGGACTTTGGGGAGGAATGAAAATCGCGTGCGGCACCCTAGTTTTCCATTCCGCTCCGCCGGAGCTTAGTTTCCCTTTCATTAAAAATGAGATGTTTTGCGGTTTCAGATCTAGTATTGCAACCACAAGGGCGATAGCGCCGGAATATTTATTAACACAACGCGTTTAGTGGACCTTCAACATTTTTCTCCATATCAGGATCGACCATAGGGATGTGCTAAATCTCGGGCTCACGCAAGGACTTATACTCTTTTGGAATTCCAACCCCTATAATTGTTTCCTACAATCTGATTGAAGCCTTCGTGTGTGGGTGCGGGCATACAGAAGAGTGTCAGAGGAAGTGGGGGGAGGAGGTGGGGAGCAACGGTCCGCCATGGAAACGGAGTAAATGTGCACAAGTGTTGAAACCTTTGCAGTGGAGCAGACGAGCCTCGGTGGGGGTTGAGCCCTTTACAGATTTACCCACTGCGGACCGGTGCACCATGTACAGAACGCTACCACGCCGAAAAAAGCAGTTCTCTCCTATATATTACTATTTTTCCAGTGGTAGATAACGTATTCATCAGTAAACTGTCCGAGCCAGAAATTGTAATACGCGCTGATAAAATTACTGTTCAGCCACTCATAAAATAGACGGAAAAACCTACAAAGGTGCCCATTTGCCGACGGTCCGCGATGGGTTAACTTATCCATTCAAAAGTAGAACTTGTCACAGCTACGAATGCAGCTCGAACAAGTTTCAACCCCTGTTTGTCGAAAGCTCTTTCTTATCCTTAGACGCCAAGCGACGATGGTTTCCTGTTTTGCCAACCGTTCCACAATCACAACAATATCAACCACTTCGCCTAATTGATCGTCACTACAAGGATGTTTATCGACGATTACTTGGCAAGCGAACTCGCTCTTGGACGTCGCCAACCACCCCACCCCAACGTTCTCTTTCAGTTGGACCTTGACCCATGCGCTGAACAGGCACAGGGCAGGGCTTCATGCCTACAGGGCCAAAGAAATGTGGGACTGTGAAGAGATAACGAGAAGAAACCCCAAAGTAATTCTCACTCGACATACCCAACAGGGATTTTAGAGAGCCTCACCTTTAGATGAAAAGAAATCCTGATACTCCTGGAACTCGTCCTTCGCTCGGGCACCATATGGCGTATACCCAGTGATTTCGTTTCGTTGACTAAAAAAATCAATAATTGACTGCAATCCTGGTCACAAATCGACAACCATGAAACTCACGGAGTAAGCAGAATTTTCACCATCGCCAATCCTGAGATGATGAGACAGATAACGATAGCAGTCCATGGCCACCGAGCGATAAAGAATCCCCATTTGCGGAATTTGTCAATAATCCAGATGACAAATTTTGGTCCTGAACAGTAATTTGGAACAATCGATACACAACTTATTCCGAAGTAGACTTGCAGGGATAGGAAGGGCTACTAGCACTCACACAGCTGAGCAACCAGGTTGAGCACGGCCCCTCCCCTGACTAGTTGAAATTGAGAAGGGAGCTCATCCCTCTAGAGAGGAGCGGTCACTGTAACCCTGACACGATATGGCAGACGGTTCCTCTTGGGGCACAATGCGCCAACCGGATGTGATGTAACGGGCAATAAAAAAATGCTTTTCCACAAAGTGGGAGGGGCGGGAGCCATGGTACGTTGGTTCTCACCACACACAGTGATCCAAATTTTCACGGGGTACGAAGCTCAAGGGGTCGGGTGCTGCAAGCCCGCCTCTCCCTTCGGGAAGAAAAATTCTGCACCTCTGGAGAACGCAGAAAAAATTGACTCAAATTAACTACGAACCCACACTCACCACACAAGGGAAAGACCATCTATCAGTAAGAAATCGATAGCGTTGGAATTTCCAGCCAATTTCTGGTTCTCTAATGTTCGAATCGCAAAAACTAGACAAATTGTTAACGTGAACAGTTATTTGGTCAGCACAGGCGCGAATTTTCAGTGCCAACCTCCGACCGTCTAAATTGATCAGGTCTAGAAAATTACTGTGGTCAGTAGCTTGCACCTGCTAAAATCCATAAATAAATGGACTTTAATTTAAAGGCACTCTCCACTGTCATGTTGTAAGTATGAGTTTGAAATGAAATTGTAGGTGATGAGACCCTTCTAAATATCCAAAAGACTCATCAGAAACTTGATACATAAAGGTGTACTTTGTTAGATTGCTTTGATGAGCATTCTGGGTCCACGGCGGAGAGACAGTGAGTGTCAAACGATGGCGCAGACGGCAAAGAAATCTAGACAGTGCAGGGATGAGGGAGGCGCAGACACGGACGACATAGCATTCTCTTTAAGAGAAAGCTCGGCCTGATACGTTTTTCCAGGCTACAGGCCAAAGTTGTGCCCCAAGAGCTCACAAATTAGGCCTGGAAAAGTCATAAAACTCAATATGCGAATTAGTAACGCTCCTGCGCTTGCGGACTGCTCTACCTTGCTCATAGAGGGATTGTTGCACACAGTTAGTCGTAGAAAGAATATGACTTCTAAAATGGATTGGCCCTCTGCCTTTTTTCAGGTGTAAATATGTGGAATAAGAAATTTGATACTTTGAGATGGTTATTTTAGAAGATTCGAACGTCTCCAAAAAATTTGTAGAAAATATCAAGGGGTAGCCTTTTCCGCCAGCTTTCCCGTGTCCAGTGCCCATTTAACTCTACGGAAAAATTCAGCAAGCTCATAAGTCAGCTAAAAATAGGCCAATTAATTAAAGAGCGATAGATCGTGGTAAGTCAAATTCTAGAAGATTTATATTGTCAATTTAATTAATTAATTTGTAAAAATAGTCACAGCTAAGGCGATAACGCCCCATACAGTGCACCATCCAAAACTGTTGTTTTTGAATGGATGGGTTGAGGTGACTACCTATTGTAAAGGTGAATGTTTTTCATCCCGCGAGACATCTTCTGTGCTAAACAAATGATCACGAAGAGTCAGAAGGAATGTTTTGCCGTTCGCTGAACTCTAGGAGATACGATCAACGTAGGGATTGAGTGGATTGGCCGACTCATTAACTCTAGAAAATCTCCTCCAGCCGCTAAAAAAAAAACTCAAAGTCTAAGAACTTGTTTCGGAATGCACATAGACTTTCCACTTTTTCCAAGTTTGTTGTATTTATCACTTGAGTTTAATGAATAAGCATTTCGGGGTCTAAGTTCAGACCAAATATTTAATTTTTATCCATCCATTTTTTCTTTGAGACTCTTAGGGTTTCCGATTAATTCAAGTTACATTTTCTAGTAGAAGAAGGAAACTGAAGTGGACTGACACCTTTTATCAAAAGCTTCATAGCGATTTGTATTGGTCATGGGTTATTCAATAAGGCCCACAAATTAATGATTTACCAATTTTACAAAAACGCTCGATACCCTACCTTTGTCCTGCTCTCCATAGACGTCAAGTGAGCGTTGTCCAATGAGGATCGACTGCCTTTTTGGGCGAATACCCTCCATTAGACAAGTGTTGGCGACGGTGGCCACTGATCACTGAACCTGAACAGAACGGTGCGCGATGACCCTGACGCTAGGCGATCAACGAGCAATAAATACAAATAACGAAGTGTCACACTTTCTTGCAACTAACGATCGAGGAAGGAAAGGTCAACTCATTCTCGAATTCATTTTTCTTAAAAATCACGGAAATAAAATCTCGAAAAAGGCCAGCTTTCATAGAAAGAAATGCCGAACCACAAAAATAGGATGGAAAAGTCGGTTGGAAAAATTGTGAAAGCTTCTATATAGTAAGGAAGTCTCCGAACGAAACCTGCAACACCATCTACCATGTGGGCGGAGCTAAACTGTCATCTCATTGTAGCCTAGGTTAAAACGTAAGTCATGACGACAATCGATGAAAAATTTAGGAAGTGAAAGCTAATACGTCGTGTTCATCGTCAATGTATGAAATTTCTATATAGAAAACTCGTAAACACCACATAAAGAATTAGAAGTAACTATGTAGATGATAAATTGAAATATTGGGACGAGGGGGCCTTCCCTGAGTGGGCGGTGCCTACTAAAAACATCGCAATTGGGTCAGGGCTTAGAGACCGAGAAAGAAACTTTTTGAAAATGATTAACGTAAAAGAACGCTTAGCATAAGTGAAACAAGACTCCTCCTACAAGGCGGAGGAGCCTGCCCTCCACTGCTCGAGGCTTATTACAGAAATTAATTTACTACATACTGTGTTCTAGGAAGCCTATGAGGCAGAAAAAATGGAAAGCTCGCGAAAGAGAGATCAGGGTGATCACCGTAGGTGAGCGTGCACCAAAGTGGGAAGCTAAAATCAAAATGGTTCAGTGCTGTATAGAAGAGCAATCAATCTACGTTTATCAACCTCTTTTTGGGTGAGGCACGTATTCCGGCTCCAGTCAGATCGTAAAGGCATTTGATTTCTTCTACATAATTTGATGTCTGAGGGTCAAGAGGTACAGATTTCAGTTCTTTTTATCGCCGCAGACAACCTTGGTATTAACCAAGGCATCATGAAGTGGTGGAAGTATCGCTGTTCTGGGCAAGATTCAAGCCCAGTCTGACCCATAATCCATGCAAAAGGAATGCACTGGTGTGCAGAACTTAAGGACGAGATAGATGAAATAACATAACTTACTGATAGCTTTGTGGACCGTTTAACGGTTCCTGTAACTGCTTTCTTTACTGCCCTGTGGCAGCTCTTTGTATGTGTGGTTAGGTTCCATAGAGTCATGTTACTCGCCAGTAACACGTCATGGAAAAGCTACGTTCGTCCTTAAGTTTTGTGCACCACCGTAATTGATCAGCTGCGGTAATTTCTCTGAAATTCGGTCCGAAACTGGCCCAAAGTATGTTAGCTGTCAGGAGAAAATTGCAGAATGGGCACGTAAAAAGGCCATGCAATTATGGAAACGAACGTGCCGTTCTTCAGATGCGCGTCACGCCTTTGCTGAAGATAGCAGTCACACTGCCAGAATAGGAGAGGACACAAAACAATAAAAAGCTCGTTTTGATGGAAAATTCGAAGGTTAAGTGCATTCAAAGATGTTCAGCAGGAGCAAATCAAAGTACGAGCGAAGTCTGGTAAAATAAGAGGGGCAGTTTGGTACAGAGCTTTCGACTCCTCAAAACCCATATAGATATGTTCATGAAGTTTTGGAAGGGGGATACTTTTTGCACTCGCGAATCGTTTACTCACCTGTAGGCTTCTTCCCCCTGCTAAAGTTCGGGTTACTGTAGGCGACACAAATTGTCGCATGAAAATATCCCCTTTTGTTGGGAAGGCCAAAAACGAAGGAATCAAGAATGGCACGCTCAATTATTTTCTCCGGCGTAGTGGACTTTCAACTACAAGCGCTGCATAGAATGAACTCGCATCTGGCGTACAAGCTGAGTTGCTGCAGTCAGCATACACTTTGTTTCCCGCGGTTGGGCATGCCGCAATTGCGGAAGCTGGTGGTACAAAGCCTCGAAAAAATCAATATCACGCGTGTTTAGCAAACACGTCTCGGGAGTCAGACCACATGCTATACTACCGTTTCCGAGGCCACGTACTTCCCAACCCGCAATTATGGCAGGCCTTGCATAGGGAAATAAAGCATTTGAACTTTTAGGTCGATGTTTTCGTTTT